ATATTGTAATTACATTGTAGCAATATTGTAGCAATCTTGTAAACATATTTAGCAAAAATCGAAGGTTTCAGCAAAGAATGTAAACATATTTACGACATATACAGTAACTATCTCTAATAAAGCTACTTTTTTGGTGCTTATCAAAACTGTAAATTTTGTTATTAAATATTTACAGTACCTAGTACCAATTAAAAAATATCAAAATCTATTGTAAATTTTTCGTGCAATATTTCAATAATAATAATAATAATAATAATAATAAAGAAAAGAAAAAAGAAAAAACAATAACATAACAAACATTAAATTTCTCATGATTACGCATTTGCGCACGTAGTGAGATGTGACATCCCGCCACTTCGTTTTCCTATGAGGAATGAAGTTTTTTTTTTTTTATACTGTACATATAAAAAGATCAGGGTTGGCATGGTCAAGCTTGACCAGACCAGTTTGACCAATTTGACCAATTTGGTCAGTTGGTCAAAGGGTTTAGTATTGGTCAAATTGGTCAAAAGTCATTTAAATATATAGTATACATATGCACATATATATAAAGATTTATTTATTTTGTATACTAAATTTATTTATTTAATAGACTAGACCATTTGACCAATTTGACCAGACCATTTGACCAACTTGACTGGACCAGTTTGACCAATGAATTTTTGATTGACCAGTGATTTGACCAACCCTGAAAAAATTTAATGAATTTTGAAAATTTAGCAATCTGTAAAATAACTCTGAGCATTCTGCATTTTGGATCGAGATTTTTTCGAGGAAAAAGCGATTTTTCTTATGACTGGATAAACTAAAGTAGGATTCAACTTATTATTATTTGTACCCCTTTAATACTATAGTATTACAGTACTGTACAAAAAAAATTATGATTTTTTTTCCATTGTGCATACGCACGTACGTACATACCTTACCGTTATCTGTTACATTATTTCGTCTATAATAAAAGTGTGGAAACTTTCAATCTTCTTTCACAAAATACTTTCTAAAAATGAAAGGGATATTTTTATGTATAAACTAGCCTGCTTCTACCACATATCTAAAAATCTATCAAACTGCGATTATTTTTTCGTCCATTGTTTCGATATGTTTTTAAGAGATAATTCACATTACCTTCATTATCTGTTATACTTTGTTTGTTAATGCTAGGTTCCTGGGTTTACAGAGTCAAGAGATATTTGTCAAGTCAAAAACTCACAAATAATATTAAGGTAGATAAGTTTTAATAATTTGTCTCCAGTAAAAATATATCCTTATACGTCTCGTAAATGTTTATTAATCAAGTACGTTTTTTTCACAGACTAAATAAGAATCTTTGGTAAACAAAATGCTTTTGAATTCTTTAATTAAAAATAAATATTTATACATATATGCGGGTTTTGTAGATGTAACTTTTGTAACACAACCATAGTTTATCCGTCATAAGACAAACTCAGAGGACTGGTTAAACTTGTAACTCAAAAGATTTTATTAATAACATTTCGTTTAATAACTAAAATATATAGATAAAATATACATGCAAGATTTTAGACTTGAATTTTCGTTATAGATCAGTATTATAATAGATTTGATAACACATCGTACAGCACGAGTTAGGGATGGCAAATGGTTTAAAACACGATCTTAAAAACCATGTTTGTTTGATTTATATCTGTTAAAAAATGTTTCAATACATTATGCTGTAATTATGATTCGACTGCGTAATTTAAATGTATTATGATTGCAAAATTCAAAAAAAAAAAAAATTGAATAAGAAAATTCTTCGAAACAATGTCTCATGTTCGTGAAGGATCCTCGTCAAAAGAAGTCTATTTAAACCTTACAAAAGTTGCCGAACCTGATAAACATGATCGAACAGCATTTTGCCAAAAAATGCAATTATTGCGAAGAAAACTATGTTGATTTAGTTGAACAATTAAAAGGTATTCATTAAAATGTAAAAGAAAAAGATTACCCGCGAAATTTTACTATAAACCTCCTCCTCTTCTTGTAATCTAAACGATTTATTTTGGTTATCTTGATTTCACGTTACACTTAATCTTAGATCTGCAATAGATCGCATAGGCGAAGAAAACTAGTTAGGCCGTTCAAAGTTGATTAGTTGTTTAACGTCAATATTTGGGCTCAAGCTCGGAGGGGAATTTAAACAAACATATATACAACACCGAATATTTGACTAAATTTTCTGGTGGGGCAGCTAACCGAGAGGGGGGGATGACGTTAAACAACTATTCAACTTTGAATGGCCTTAATAAAAAAGAACTGGTAAACAAAAACGTAATATTGTGTTAATCATGTGTTTAGTAATCCTGTTTTGAAGTAGCCATATTCTGATTGCTGGATTGTTTATGATAGATTATTAACCTCATTAATCCAAGTTGCACAAAGTTAACGAATAAAAGTATAATTACGGGAATCAGCTAAAACTGCCGGCTGGTGATCCGAAATTCGTGATGGCGGGAATTGTGAGGAAATTTTTTATGTCGATTTCTGCACAATAGCCACAATCGGGTACACAAACAGGAGAGTGAATGCCAAATTTAATCAACTGATAATACCTGGGACTTTATTAAGCTATTGTTTATTTTCTTTACATGCACACACAACAAAGTACTACCAGAATTCGAGTAACACCAGAAATCAGTTACATTCCGAGATGAAAGTTTGACAATATATAATAATAATCTTGACGCTAAAATATTTACATAAATATGGCTGAAAATTTCTTGCTTTGAAAAATAATCCTGTATTTAGAACAAAATATGATTTCTAAGACTGTTCTTAAATAATATCTTAGCTGAACATCGCGTCGCGAGATTAAATCACCCTCTTATTAAATACAACAATTAAATATGGCATCTGCTATCCAACCCTTTTCAATACTCACTACTTGTCAATCTACAATTAATAATTGTACTGAACCTGAAGCCTATTGTACTGACAATTCTTTACATGAGGTTGAATCTCAATTGACTCCGAATTCTCCAAAAAGCGGTATATTGCCTCATCTCGAATACGTATCTTACGATAGAGTTCAAGATATTTATGAACAACGAAAGGGTCATTTCTACTTCATTCCTGAGGGTTTTAAATCTGCTCTAGTTCCAAATGACTCTAAAGATCCTGCTGTACTCAATTTATTTGGAAATTCTAAACCCGTACCCTATGATCCTAATGTCCCGAGGATGCTTCCTGATTCGGATGCACGTCTTTCTTCATTCGATCTTTCCTGTAGAGTAGCTAGCTCAAAGAAAGAAAATTCCGCAATTGACAAGAATGGTAAAATCAAAAACCTTCAATACCATCAAATGCTTTTATTCCTTGTCATCGAGCAAATCAACCACAGATTGTTCATCATCAGGACATCTCAAACGATGATATATCTAAAGAAATTGGGATATGGCACAAAGATTCTTTAAAAGTACGGTTTGAATAATTTTTGTTTTTTCCGTAACCGTAATGTATTATGTTGATTATATCCAACTTTCAACCGTCTGCCCTTACTATATATACAAACTCATCATCGATTAAAAACCAAAAAAGTAAATATGGTTTATTGTTAGTTGATTTAATCAACTAAATACTATATTATTATAATATGTATTTTTTTTTTTAAAAAAAAAAAAAATACATAAATATTGGTTCTTTTGAGTTCTCGCCACTTTTTCTATTAAGTAATTTTACGCATTCAACATAAGCCTTGTTATATACCTTTGATTGAATGATGGGTAGTACATTAGTAAGAACAGTTAACCCAATGATCACAATATCATATGTCTATCATGTCGATCGCCGGGTTAACTGTTCTTCAAGTGCGTCATCGACGACTGCGTCTATAATATTATTGACTAACTATTACACCATTTATCAATTATGTCCTTTCCACGTTAACAGCAGTAACGGAGACGACAACAACGACGAGGCTTTTATGCGACTAGAGCATGTACGAATTGCCGAAAAAAACACAAAAAATGTTTCGGAAGAGCAACTTGTGAACGTTGTGAGCTGCATAATCCTGAGTGTACTTTTATTGATTCGGGTAAAAAACGTGGGCCAAAGATGAATAGTAAGCACCTAGAACAGGTCTATGCTCTTAACGGTCTTGAAAATGACTTTGATGGAACATCTATGCTATCCTCTGTAATCCTTAATCCCATGCAAGGTCACGCATCGATTATATCATCACCATCAGGATATCCACAACAACCGGATAACATTGACGAGTTTACCCTTCATTGTGAATCATATGAAGAACCAAATATTCCCGCTTCTCAAGAAGCCAGTTTATTTTCTTATCAAACATGTATCAATACTGAATACGCTATGCAGAGCAACAACCTTATAGACAACGCGACAAATAATAATACTATCTTTCTATATGACAACTTATTTTTTAATAATAACCATATGCCATCATTCCATTATTAAAGCATTGTATTTTTGACTTTTGGCCTAAAGATGTTGCTAAGCCAAATTTTCAAGCAACTGAACTGTTATTCTTATATTTCTTGTTATTTATTTACACTCTTATTTAAGAGTATATGGCAAAAATAATTCTAAGAAACGAATATTATGAATATATTGCTTTTATTATTATGGTTTTCCTGCATTAACTGGTATGAATAAAAATGAAACAAATATATACAATAAATTATCTTTTTCAAATCATACAGTCGTGTACAATACCTGGTGAGTTGTCTGAATTAAACTAGAACCGTCTTAATACTGCATACGATACCCGGCGTGTAGGGATGGATTCGGTTACAAACAGTCACGATTATTCATAGTCAATTTTCTAAATACTGGGATGATTTTTTTATTTTTGAGCTTTAATTAAAGTTGTTCAGAATTAAATTCTGTTCATCCCACCTTATACCGGCGGCTAATAGCCGGTTACAACGTTAATAAAATTTGAAATTCTGAGTTCCAGAGAAGGTAACTTATAATATGGGATGAACAGAATTTAATTCTGAACAACTTTAATTAAAAGCTCAAAAATAAAAAATCATCTAAATATTTAGCAAATTGCTATGAATAATTGTGACCATTTGTAACCAAACCCATCCATACCGGTGTGGCACAGTTTTTTACGTACATGATGAAAAATTCAAATAACGTGCATTACGCAATTGCTATAAATAATTTAAAAATTGATCTATATTATTTGTAACATCGGGTCGTATAAACGCTCATTTTAATAGCACATACACTACAACATAAATTATTTACATTGGTACTTACTATACGATGAAGATTGCACTCATTGAAAAACTCTACTTGGATTATCCAGATGAGTCGATAAGTCGCTATAAATTTTGGGAACCATATAACGGCAATTTCTACTCGAGTACAATCGCCGCTATTAACTCATTTAGCTAACATTTAAGGTTAATTTAGGGTTATAATTAGCTAATCTTACAGCAATTATTGGGAAGTCTACCAGAACTAGTATTACACCTGTACATTAAATATTATTTGAGAGTGTGTTTATGGTTTTGATTTTGAAGGACTACAGTATTTTCGCGAACTAACGCCCATGGATGTAATACCCCGATCACTATATCAAGATCACGGGGTATTATTATTACTAACGGCCTGAATTAAGCTTAATTTCAAATTATACACCTGGCGATAATACGGCTAAGTTTTCTTTCTTTCTTTTTTTGAGAATTATACTTTTTATGACATATGTTTGTGGGTCATTATAATAAAATTATTTTATGAATTTAATTTCCAGGTTAAATAAATTTAATAATCACATGAAATAGATATCTACATTCAACGAATTGACAAATGAAATAA